AAGTTCTTCCCCCATCTTTATCTGAATAAAAATATAAGTCCTTCTAACTTATTGGAAATAAAGTACCGTTTTAATTGCACTTCAAATTAAAAAATATATAAAGTACCTAGAATGAAATACATATAAAAATTATATAATAATAAATAGCAGATTTCCACAGTTTTCTTGTAAAAATAAAACAGATTAAACTATTCTACAATTTTGTACATCCCTTCTTATTATCGCGTGAATATTTACTAGCTCTAACAATTTCCACATCATACTACAGATGTATTTTATTTCTCAGAAAAATTCAATTTTAAAAAATTATACTTTTCACATTTCCCTATTTACTATAACTTAAAAAAGTCCTACGCAGTACGGTGTTCGTCCACCGAAAAAATAACAGCATTTCTATAAAAAGTAGTTTTGTATATTTAATGAAATAATTTTTATGTACATGTGAATTAATGAAACTTCCCTCTTTTTATTTCATTTTTCCCCATAAAGGTACGGATATAAAATAATATAAGAATTGTATTTATATATTTTATATATTTACATGTACATATAAAATATATAAAATAATATATATTATTTTCCAGCAAATAAGAACTTTCTATTAAAGGGTTTCTTTTATATTCGCCAAATTTTTATAATTAAATTATTTCGAGCAATAAAATTCTGACTTTAGTTACAATGAATATATCAGTTTAAATAAAGATTCCTTTTTTTTTATTTTTTTATTTTTAAATATATAGTAAATTCTGAAAAAAATTATACTTAATCACACAAGTTGAAATTTTATGTTCACAAATATATCTTGTAAGTGGAAGGTAGAAACAGATATAAGTAATAATTTCTTCCTTCAAATTATACAATTAATGCATTTTACATCCGTAACCCCATGTAGCATAACAAATAAAAAAAATAAATACTTAAGTTTTTGATTTAATACGCTTTTTAAAATTATGAAAGAATAAAAAATTAAATTTAACATTTATATAATCATATTGAACTAATTATTTTACAGATCACTTAAGTATTCCTACCTTATTATTACAAAGGGAATTCGCACTTTTGCAAAAAAATTAAAAATGAAAGGAACCACCAATATGATTTCCTTTGGGAAAGTTTTTACTTATTCTCTCTTCCTATGGTCGTCTCAATATGCCCGTAACGTAGGACATAATAAATAACATACATAAATTTTTACACTTCCATTTTTAACTTTGTAACCTTTTATTTTTGAAATAAAAAATATATTAAAGTGTTCAAGTAAATGCAATACATATACACACGTACGTTACCCACCTATGAGTACACGAATACATATGTAGTGAACCCTTTTAACACCTTTTTTTTCTTTTTTTGTTTTAATTTTTAGTCATCGAATGCCCTATGCAATCCACCATGTTATAAGCGCAACAACAGATTACTGAGCCAAAGAATAATCTATTCAAGGAAAGATGAGCCACCCATGAGATCTAAAATAGGTGGTTATTGTGAAGATGATGAACATCATAATATACCAAGGAGAATGAACAGTACAATAAAGGATTCTTATTTGGAAAGTCGATTTCACGCATTGTCCTCTGAAGATAATTTACAGGGTTCCTTTACTTCTAAGGTCCACGATGACGATCTACAGAAGCGATTTAGTGCAATAATGCGTGAAGGAGATTATCCAAGGACATCTGGCAATTCATATAGGGATAATGATTATTATGGGAGAGGATCTGGTACGAGAGATGGTAAGCACGATGATGATTATGGCAGAGGCTGGTCGGGTGACTATGGTCATTACAAAAAGAAGAGCGACTCTAGGCATGCTTCGGATTTATTAAAGTACGATAAATATTCAGGAAGAAGAGATCACTCATCAAGAGGAGGTCATTACATGGATAGGGGACACTATTCTCGTGGTCGATCAGGCCATATATCACGTCCTCCTGTATCTGAAGATTTAGCCCATGATATTGATAGACAAGATCATTATTATAAACAGTATTTAGAATCTCACGATACCCCTTATAGCTTTACCACCTTTGATATTAGTAAGAAGCCTCACATGCCACTTTCCGATAGTCAAACACCAATGGGAACACGTGATATCAAACACCTAATGGACAAGGTAGAATTGCACAAAAGTGCCCTAAAATCCATGTGGGAAGGTTTTATTAAATTTTTAAAAAAATCAGATGCAATGTATGAAACAGAAATATTACGTATATTGGAAGGTACTACAGGTTCTTATGATGGGCAACACATCCAACCAAAAAAATATAAAGGATTAGGAGGCATACTTAAGGATTACCTAACCATCCTGTCCCCAGTTATATCAGTTGCTACATTTTTGACCTTGTTCGGCGTGTTTGTGATAAAGGAGGGTATCATCATAACATCTATTGCTCTCATTGCAACCATGTTGTATGTATGGTACAAATATAAGAAATGCAAACATATAAATAGAATATACGGAATCTATGACAAACAACAATTAATGGAGCACAGTGCAGAACAAAAGATGGAACCAATCAAAAATTCAAAATACCTCAGATAATTTGGACACACTTTCGAAATTTCTATGCAAAATGCAAGAGTAACGAGGGCATTTTATTATATGCCTGTTCATAGTGTATGTTTGATACCTATTGGTCATAAATTGCTAGAATCTTATTTTGCTTTTAAGAGAACAAGGCGCTGATTACCATTACTGCAGAAGCCACCAGGACGGCCACAGGGAAAAGAGCAGCAAAACAAGCTGCAAGACTAACGACAACAGAAAAAGTAACATTAACAGCAAATCATATAGTATTATATGTACACCCCGTTTACATTCGAGTCCTTTGACGTTTCAAAGTTTTCATTTCCATTTTTAATTGTGTATAATCATTTTAAGAAGTTGTACTTTTTGAAGCTCATTCTGTTTCTTCATTTCATTTTTATTCTTCTTTTATGTATCTATTTATATATATTTATTATTTTTTTTTTTTCCGTTCACACGTATTAATTCGTAAGAATGCTTCATGAGTTCAGATCATTTATGAAGAATTCTAATGAAAGATTCACATGACAGTACACAACTACCATTCTGTTAAGAGGTGTATATATATATATATATACATATATACATATGCATATGTAGTTATTGGTGTATAGTGCTTTATTTAGGAATATGATGAAATTATTAACCATGTTTAATTATTATGTTTGTTAAGTGAGTTATAATTAAGTTCTTATTAAAATCTAATAGAAGAAACAGTTACAAATCCCTTTTAATCCTCTCTTTTTACACTTCTCCTATTTAGAACTAACAAATAAGCTTTAATATATTTCTATTAATGTACAAATCTTGAATTACATTTTAGGCATTAAACCGCTTTTTTGTTTTACCATAAAAAAAGTATTTCCTACTTTGATATGGAATTACTATAGAGCTAATGTGAGCCAGTTAGTTGTTCTTTTATACGGATAGATGTTCTTTTTAGAGCCTTATACAATTTTCCTCCAATATTTACCTCGAACCAATTTAATAATGACTACATTGTGGGCGGACCGTACGTTTTTTTTTTTTTTTACCATTTTAAGCGGTTAAAATTATACTAAACTTCCTGTTCTGTTTTGTCTTTTTTTTCTCTCAGCCTTTTACCATTTTCTTATATTTCAGTTTACACAAATAATTATGCCTAACCCAAATGGCTGCAGAATAGCTCTATCTTAGATATATATTATATAAAAAAAAATCCTTTGTTGTACCATTCGAAAAATATATTTATTAGAATTTGTTGAATAAGAAGGTTTTGTTTACAAACCGTGGAATATAAAAAGGGAAAAAATTCCATTTTTCATTAATGTGTCCTTTATTAAGAATTATAATAAATAATCTAACCCTTTGCCTTAAACAAAATTATTCACATAAGATTCCTTTTCCTCCTTTTGAAAAATAGAACAGACCGATAGCTATTCCAAATGGTGTTCAGAAATTATGAGTATACAATATTGTTCATTCTTATTTTTTAAAAAATAATCGGAAAAGTTCTAAAAAAAAAAAACATAAAGAGTATAAAGCAGACTAGCACTCCGATCGCAAGATCCTAGTAACGTTGTAAAAAGGTGTAAACAGATGTAAAAAAAAAAAAAACTCATATTCCAAATGAAGCCTCAGAATGGCAACCCGAAATAATACAGAGAGATAACATTTTATAAATAATGACAAATCAGCTCTTACTTTAGAGATATAAATCTGATACACTTATTTGGATTAATTTGTATAAAACTTTATCCAAATATTCCATCATCCACTTTTGTTCCATATGTAGGGAAACATAAACCACATTGGATATATTTTTTCGTTTTATGAGAGCAACCTATAATTTGTAGCTTACTCCTCTTTAGATGGAATAAAAAATAAAATTTTCACATATAAAATGCAAGTGCAAAAATTAATAAAATTCTAAGGAAAAACACAAGTGTTTCTAGTAAGGTGAAAACGTTGTAGTTGTCTCCATACGTGTGAATAAAAATATATTATTATATGTAGCTACTTCAATGGGTGAGAAACTGTACTAACCTTTTTATAGAATCTAAGCAAAATACTATATATAAATGGATTATTATTATACATCGACCACGCCTGCAGAATGTGTATCCGATGTATGTATACTACCTTTCACGCAAAATAATAAAAGAGTTAGTATATACTTCTTACCTACTTATTTTTCCCTTTTTTTAGAACAAATTCTTTTGCAGAAAAAAAGGCCGTTAAAAATTCTCATAAAAAAGAATTACGTTTGTGTAAATGGTTAAAAAAATAACAGTAGCGGCAATTTTTGTGCCTCATAACACCGTTAAATTAAGTTTTTCAGAAAATCATTTATTAAGGATAAAGGGTCTCAGGAACTGAGGCCTTCACGGATTCATTTGTGCCCGTTTGTGTCGTTTAATTTTTTCATACCACTTTTCTTTAAAGATATATACATTATAGATATTTAATCGTTTTTTCTGTTGCGCCACGTTATATTTCACTTACGAACTTAGGTGAATGTAATGCATGTTTTGCAAATGAGGGTTGGCCTTAGTGCTGCAATAGGGATAGTTATAGGAATGCAGAGCAACTCGGAAAACTTCCACAAATATCGATGTAGCTATATAATTGCATAACCCTTCTTCAATTATTATACTTGCTCACCCATTCTTTCTATTGTGTTCGGTTTAGTGTGATTATTCACTACTTCGATTATTCGTTTATTCGCTTTATTTTATTTTGTTTTTGCCCCAACTTTTATTACCTTTTTTGGTTTTATTAAACCTTGAGCAGTATGGAAATAATTGAGGAGGAAAGTAGTATGAGCTACATAGAAACAGTGTTTAAAAATGGAATAAATATAAATCGGGAAAGCATACAGTCACAAATTAACCCGCGTTCCTTTGTCCCGTATATATATGTCATCGTATTGACCCTGGGGGCTGTTCTTCTCCTCGTAAAGCGTCTCCCACAGGTAAAGGAAACAAACGAATATATTCAAAAGGCAAAAAAGGAAAAAATAAGTGCAAAAAACTAGTGAGAAAAATGAAAAGGATAGTGTGAAAAATGACACAAACTGTGGGCAAAAATGAAAAATTTACCGCGTTTTCTGTGTAAACCATGTAAATATGTGCGTGTAGATGCTTATTCATATTTACATGGTGAAAAAAAAAAGGTACGATAGTTTCTTCTCAACTGCTACGTAAAAATATACTTTATAAAAGACTGCACTTATCACTTTGTAGAAAAATAATGATGAGATAGAACATTCCGCGCGAAATAAAAAATTAGACAGAGAAATCGCCCTTGAACAAGGACTAATTGAAAAGTCAGAAGAATTGAAAAAATACGCATGGAATAACTGGTTCATCAAACTAGAAACAGACTGGAACTATTTCAATGCGACTCTCGAGAATGAAAAACAGACATGGTTTGATGAAAAAGAAAAGGAATGGCAAGAATGGTTAAAGTCTATGGAAGACAGATGGACACATTATAACGAAGATATGGAGACAGAACTTAAATTGTATATTTTAAAGAATTCACAAGGTTGGGATGAAAATCAATGGGAAACCTGGATTAAAAATGATGGAAAAAAATTTATGGAAATCAATTTCAATAAATGGATTGGTGAAAATTATTCTGATTATAATGCTTGGGTTGTGAAACAATGGGAAGAATGGAAGGACGGAAAAATTCTCACCTGGTTATTAAAAGATTGGAGACGTAACGAATGCGAATATTGGGAAAGATTCGAAGATTTGACCTTACCAGAACCATTATTTGAAAGGGTATATAGTAACTGGGATAAATGGAATAAAAGGTTAACGAAAGAAACACAACAGTGGGAAAAATGGGTTTCCGCGAAATGTGAGTTATATAAAAGCAGTGAGTGCAAACAATGGAAGAAATGGAAGGATGATAGAGAAGTCTTGTTTAACAATTGGATGGAGTCATTTATCAGCACGTGGATAGCAGAAAAAAAGTGGAACGTCTGTATTGAAGAGAAAAAAAATGAAACCGCTTCCTGAGCAGAATTTTTACCAAAGAAATGATTATATGAAATGAAAACGCTACTATTTTTTTTTTTTTTTCCAATTTATATGGTTTAATTTTTTTTTTTTTCCTTCATGATTATTTTTTAATAAATGTTTGAATAATTTATGTTATAAATAATTATCTTTTATAATTCTTCCTTGAGTACTTTTTGCTATAAGGAAGATTATTCTATATATATATTAGAATTCTACACTGTTTTTCCGAGAAACTATTAAAATATATTACGGTAGCAAATGATTCTCACCGGGAAAGTGAAAGATAATGCCTCCTATTTCTGCGCAAATATGGATAAATATTCGTGAATTCATGAGAACTTTTACGAATAAGGGAATTTTTTATTCATTATGTTAACCGTATAGATAAAATTAAGATATACGTGTATTTTTATATGTACATGTATATATATACATATATATACATATGCGTATATATATCTGTATATATTTATTTATGTAGATGCCTAATCATTTATAAATTTGTTCATTCTTCCTCTGCCCCAATTCATTTATAAGAATTTCCTTTAAAACGAAGGGGAGCATAAATTGTTTTAACCAAAATAGTGTATATTTATGTTATTAAAATTGTACAACTGTACTTAAATAATAAATGCTACACTAACAAAGTTTTGATAAACGAAAGCTTATTTTTTTTTTTTTCGTTTCATGTTTGTTTTTGATCCGAACAACTGCAAAACCGAAGGAAGAACTTTACCGTAAATAATTCATTTATATCCTAAATGTTGTGCAGTTTTCATTTTGCAATATAACATAAGCTTAAACGGAATATGAATTATCAAGACATTTGACAGTTATAATTTTAGAGGTATTTATTTTCTCATTTTCTGGAACATATTAGACAAATGTGCACTTATAATATTTCTTCCCAAGAATAAAATTAGATACACGAAATATGAAAAAATCTACAAAGACGATTGCAAATTGCATGCAAACATACTGCGAATTCATTCTGTTGAGGAGGCCTTCTGTTCTGACTAAAAAAGATATACGGAAATATGGAGAAGCTTCAGGATGTACAAGAATATAATGCAGATAATATCACTTCGTTGCTTGGGGCAATTAGAAATAGCCGCTTATTTTCGCATGTACACGAAAATTTTTTTGTTTCTTGCTTATATATCACCCTTTTTGTTCTGTCCCTTAGGATTTTAGTAAAGACCTATTATCCAGTAAGTTGAAAGAGGTGCACGAAAAATGTTTTTATGTATAACAACATGTCTATATATGCACCATATACACATGGGCATACTTTCGATTCATTCTGTCCTTCTAAATTGATCTAAAAAACGCATTTCTTTTTTTTTTTTTTTAAACCATTTTCAGTCAATGGTTCAACATGTACAAGAAGTTTTCATACTTATGAAGCATGACTTAAATAATAAAAAGCCAGGGACGAAAAGTTTTATAAACAAGATCACAGGACCCCTGAAAAGTTGCAAGGTTTACATATTGAATCAGCTTAGTACCATTCTAGGAGTAACAATTAAAAAATTAAGAAGTACCAACGAAGGAGTTCAAAACGTCCAAGGATATACAACACAGGATAATTTAATAAGTGGATGTTATGATGATGAAGATGATGACGGCGAGGACGATGAATATAATGATGACCAGGAGAACGAAAATGACGGTGAAGAACAGGATAAAAACAAAAATGACGGTGAAGAACAGGATAAAAGCAAAAATGACGGTGAAGAACAGGATAAAAACGAAAATGACGGTGAGGAACAGGATAAGAACAAAAATGACGGTGAAGAGCAGGATAAAAACGAAAATCACGGTGAAGAGAAGGATAGAAACGAAAATGACAGTGAAGAGCAGAATGAAAACGAAAATGATAATATGGAAAAAGGATTAGGTGATAGTTCCATGACAAAAGTTAACAGTGATATGAAAGGTGAAGGATCAAACGACAGTCTTGCTAAGGTTGATTTGGAAAACGCACAGGAAAATAAGCCAAAAGATAGCTTTACAGAACAAGATGAAGAAGATATGATCAAAAAAGAAACTGATGAAAAACCTATGGAAAACCCCGAAGATGCCAATAAACAAGGAACCCTCGATAATGACGTAAAAGAAAATATAATGGAAAAAAAAAATGAAAAAAGTAGCAAAACAAATGAAGAAGTAAAACGTGGAGAAAATGTGACAGTAGAACGTGACACAGAAGGACAGTCAAAGTCAGAAACCGGTGAAGAATTAAAAGGTGAAAAGGGTGGATCGTCGGAACGTGGAACGGGGGAAATAACAAAACGTTCAACTGCCGGAGCAACGGAAGGAGCAACCGGCGGAGTAGCAGAACGTAAAGAAATTGGATCACAGGAACGTGAAACGGGCGGAGTAACAGAACATGAAAACAATGAACCATCGAAAGATGCAATCGGAGGAGTAGTGGAAAGTGAGGCCAACGGACTAGCCAAAATTTATAACAGCGGAGTAGCAAAACGCGAAACAACGGGTGTTCCTAAACGCGAAACATCGAGGCAAGGGAAACTCCAAAAAAACGGACCAACGAAGGACAAGACAAATGAAGAATTAATGAATATGACACAGAAAACGAATGCCGAAATAAATCAACATAAAACGAAAAAAATCCTAAACCTTAAAAATATAATTTCAAAAGATAAAGAAAACGGTGAAAAAGATGAAAATGTTCATGAATCAAAAAAGAACGAACTAACAGAAGAATGGAAAGTTAATGAATGGAATAAATGGATGCGTCAATTAGAAGAACAGTGGCATTTTTTTTTTATAACTCTGGAAAACAAAACAAACGAATGGCTGAAACAAAAAGAAGAAGATTTTAAAACATGGATAACAGGAATGGAAACTAAATGGATGAACTACAACCACAATTTGGATACAGAATATAACACTGATCTTTACAAAAAGTATCAAATGTGGTGTGAAACTGACTGGAAAAAATGGATAACAACAGTTGGAAAAAGACTAATCGAAAAAGATTGGATTAAGTGGATAGACGATCATGAATGTAAATTGAATGAATGGTTTGACCGTGAATGGTCCCAATGGAAAGCCTTAAAGAATTTTGAATGGGAAATGAATGAATGGAAAAGTGATGAATATGAACGTTGGGAAGAATGGAAAAATAGCAATTTGACCCTGTGGCTACAGAAAAAAAAAAAAAAAAAATATTTAACATGGAAAAACAGGATCGAAAGGGAAAGGTCGGAATGGGACAAATGGGTTCAATCAAAACGTGTGTTAAATTTAAGAAGTAAAACCCCTAAATGGATAAAATGGAAAAATGAAAAACGATTATTATTTAACGAATGGGTGGAAAACTTTATAAACCTATGGATCACCAAGAAGCAGTGGCATTCATGGGTTTTAGAGAGACGAAATGTACTGTCCGGAAAGGCACCGTCTTCCTATTAATATTCGATCCAATCAAAACCGTTACTAAAAAAAAAAAAAAGTTATCACCGTATCATGCATTGTTAATTTGTAATACCATTTTCGAACTATTACTGAAGAATAGAGTCATAAATTAACAGAGGAATGATCACCAAGTGGCAGGGCCATCCCCAACGACAAATTGGAATTTTCCAATTTTCCTATTTTCCTTATTAAAATGTATTCCTATTTCTCCATAAAGATGAATGTCATACAGAAAAGTAAAAGGAAATTTGTTTGAAAGCGAAAAGTGAAAACCTATTTTCCCTAAACTTTAAGGAAAAAATGAAAATTATTAAAACGCCATGCTTAAATTGGCAACTAGTATATTAATGTTAATAAAACATTAAAAGACATTATTTTAAGAATTTTTCTGTATTTTCACATATGTCCATGTATTAAAATAGATATTCCTTTACTTAATCTTTTTTTATTGTTTGTTCATAGAATATGTTTCTAATATTGACAAAATGAGTCCCTCTAAAATTTAAAAATTTTTCTTTTTTTCGTTTTTGAAAAGATGTCTTTTATACATTGTCAATCCATAGAGCAAATAAACATAATTATTTGAATTTTTATAATGTTTGTTTGTGAACTGTTTATATATTAGTTTCTCTAATTAGGTAATTAATTGGTATAAATTCCCTTCTTGAGTAGTAGTATGGGGTTTACAATAAACGAAACTTTTTCCATTTTTTTCTTTTGTTTTTTTTTTGTCATCTTTGTAATTCTGCTATGGATAAAAATGTAGGTAGCTCACGCTCGTTTAATACGAATACAACAGACACCAAAACAGAATGAAACAAAAAGAAACAAAAGAGAAGTTAATTTATTTATTAATTCTCCATTAAAGATCATTGCACATATTTCCCTTCTGTTACTCATCGCTTTTTATGCTTCAAAATAAGTAGGCTCGCGAGTTCCAAGTTTTAAAAACCCAGAAAGACAGAGCAAACAGTAGAGGGATAAATTGGAAAATATCGTTAGAAATCTACGACCAAAATGTTGTTCGAATGTGCTCCAAAAGAATAGACAAAATAAAATAACCGTACCATCATGTTGCCAGCATATCTTTAATGCACTTTATTTAATCTATTACTTCCTAAACACATGAAATTACCGATTCATTCTTTTTTTTGGGTTCAAGTAGTAACTGAAGGGAAATGTGAAAATGCTTAATTTTCAAGTCCTCGAGGGCACCTCCTAGACACATTTTACGCATGTGCACGTAGTCATACATATAAATATCTGTGTATGCTCCTGATATTCCAAACGCATCACTCCCTTGCAATTTGTTCTGTGTGCAATTTTTATTATGCAAATGGTTGATTATGGAAATGTTAAAAAAATCTCGTTTGTTAGTAAAAGCGCAAAAACCGCCAATTTTGTCATAAATGCGAAGATGGGGAATCCAAAAAAAAAAAGTGTGAACATTTTTATTACAAAGTTTTAATTTGAAATTACCTTACACCTTACCACAGTCAAGCATGAACTCTCAAGCTTCTTATTCTTTAACATTACCTCAAATTAGCACGAGTGTCTGCAACTAAACATGAATATATTTTTGTCATGTTTTTACTGCGGATTATTGCAATTCCGTTTGCACTTCATTTAAAAGAATTCTTTTAAATTGCGCTTTTTGCGCTAACCGCTACTTTTATCTATCTGTTTTTATCTCTGCGCGAAATTTTCGGGGAAGTGATGAATTCCACAAGGAGAGCGCAAAATGCTGCATTGAGAGAAATTCTAAATTAGAAAATTGCTCATTAGAACACCAGCAGTATTGCGAAATGATATAGATGATTCAATTTCGCAGTTAATTAAAGATGGAGGGAATGAAATCGTAATTTCTTTCACAGCATTCCTAAAAAAAAAGAAGATAGCACTCGTTAATACTTTCATGTTAAATGTTAAGCGTTATTTTCCCAAGAAGAAAACTGCGCGCATATTAATGTGTTCACGTATTTACGTATGCGTGAGAGTATGCAGCACCTTTGCTTTACAATTAACGTAATTTCTAATGGTTTCGTGCATTATACGGACATCTTACCACTGTCAAAATTAATTTTCAAGATCCTACCTAGTAGATATTATAAGCTTTAGAAAAATTCACACATTAATGATTTGCTAAAATTAATTAAATTTTTGTTTAAACGAAAGAATTTAATTAAATATACCCATCTTTTTATTAATAAATGGTGCAATATTATTAATATGCGTATATTAATTTTTTCTTTTTTTTTTTTTTTCATAAATACTATTTAATCAGGCTGAAAACACATTTTACGAAAAAAAGCAATTACAGAATTAACTTAGTATGTTATAAGATATATTATCAACTCCCTAATATATACCTTTCATAAAAATATCCAGAATAATATCCCAAATGAAAGATAACGAAAAAGCACACATGTGTGACCCATGGGGTATATTAAGCCAACTGCTCCAAGCAAAATTACATTATATATATATTTTGCCTGAAATCGATAGACCGTATATATTTTACCCCGTTGTATATTTTATGATTCTATTCCCCTTTTTTACATTTAAAAATAAACTTGTATAGTAGCATATATGTTTGCCCCTACCTATATATATCCACGCATACATATATGCAACTCATAATTATACAATACAATTATACATCATAATTATACATCATAGTTATACATCATAATTATACATCATAATTATACTTCGTATATTATATATTTATGTACAATATGTACGTGCCTATTTTTTCCCTACTGCGCATTTATTTTGTGGTGCCATGTTACGCGATTACTTGAAATGCATCATTTAAAAAGTTCACGTTTAATTTGGATGTATATTTCTCAACATAAGGTGATGTGAACGTCTATTTTAATTTTGAAACTTATTGTTATTATTACTACTTTAAAAGAATAATTCAACGTAACCTTTAAATTTTAAAAAGGATAAATGATGGTGCTTTCTATGTCCTATAACTGTGTACATATAAGTATTATGTATTATATACATATATATAAATTATTTATGAAAAAAAAAAAAAATCATGATTTTAATTCTTCAAGGATTTAATCTTTCTAGCCCATGATGATTTATTTAGAATTCAACCCTTAAGTATATAATATTCTGCATTAAAAATAACAGTTGAAAATATATTTATTCTCATATTTTTATATTCATATATTTTGACACTTGTATGCCTGATTGTTTTTTTATTTTTCGTCCGATTCAGTGAAATGTATTCTTTTTTACATAAAAAATGATGTTTTATATTTTACATGAATTATCTTGTATTTATAATAAACCGTTTAGTTGATGTACACGCATGTGTTAAATAGAAGCAGTATTTATAACATTCAAACTTTTAACTACATTGAGAAAACTGAAATTGTTCACTAATCAGAGGCGGCTCTCCCAGTGAAAACGAACTGTAAAATGTATATACTGTACAAATATATACACTGTACAGATGTATATGCATATATATACACATGTATATATCTATTTTTAGACGTGCAATGCGCCTACTTCATAATCTCTCCCCATCAAGGTGAACAACCGAACATGAAAAACATAAACGTGTAGTGTATGGCACTGTTGGTACAGTAGAACACCCTGCAGCAGCCCTATTATTCACCGCCCTTGTCCCATTATATAAAAATAACGAAACTTCTACTCAAATAAACGCCACAGGTAGAAATGTGAGGTGTTCTTCTTTTTAATCATTCGCCTCAATTGTTAAGATAGCCAGAAAAATCGAGAAGTTGCATGTGTATATAACATTATATAATGTATATAT